GTCTAGGTACAAATGATTGACATGTAATATAATATGAACTAAATGAACTAGCGTGACTAATAAAAATAACAAGATACAAATGATTATATAGTCTAGGTACAAATGATTGACATGTAATATAATATGAACTAAATGAACTAGCGTGACTAATAAAAATAACAAGATACAAATGATTATATAGTCTAGGTACAAATGATTGACATGTAATATAATATGAACTAAATGAACTAGCGTGACTAATAAAAATAACAAGATACAAATGATTATATAGTCTAGGTACAAATGATTGACATGTAATATAATATGAACTAAATGAACTAGCGTGACTAATAAAAATAACAAGATACAAATGATTATATAGTCTAGGTACAAATGATTGACATGTAATATAATATGAACTAAATGAACTAGCGTGACTAATAAAAATAACAAGATACAAATGATTATATAGTCTAGGTACAAATGATTGACATGTAATATAATATGAACTAAATGAACTAGCGTGACTAATAAAAATAACAAGATACAAATGATTATATAGTCTAGGTACAAATGATTGACATGTAATATAATATGAACTAAATGAACTAGCGTGACTAATAAAAATAACAAGATACAAATGATTATATAGTCTAGGTACAAATGATTGACATGTAATATAATATGAACTAAATGAACTAGCGTGACTAATAAAAATAACAAGATACAAATGATTATATAGTCTAGGTACAAATGATTGACATGTAATATAATATGAACTAAATGAACTAGCGTGACTAATAAAAATAACAAGATACAAATGATTATATAGTCTAGGTACAAATGATTGACATGTAATATAATATGAACTAAATGAACTAGCGTGACTAATAAAAATAACAAGATACAAATGATTATATAGTCTAGGTACAAATGATTGACATGTAATATAATATGAACTAAATGAACTAGCGTGACTAATAAAAATAACAAGATACAAATGATTATATAGTCTAGGTACAAATGATTGACATGTAATATAATATGAACTAAATGAACTAGCGTGACTAATAAAAATAACAAGATACAAATGATTATATAGTCTAGGTACAAATGATTGACATGTAATATAATATGAACTAAATGAACTAGCGTGACTAATAAAAATAACAAGATACAAATGATTATATAGTCTAGGTACAAATGATTGACATGTAATATAATATGAACTAAATGAACTAGCGTGACTAATAAAAATAACAAGATACAAATGATTATATAGTCTAGGTACAAATGATTGACATGTAATATAATATGAACTAAATGAACTAGCGTGACTAATAAAAATAACAAGATACAAATGATTATATAGTCTAGGTACAAATGATTGACATGTAATATAATATGAACTAAATGAACTAGCGTGACTAATAAAAATAACAAGATACAAATGATTATATAGTCTAGGTACAAATGATTGACATGTAATATAATATGAACTAAATGAACTAGCGTGACTAATAAAAATAACAAGATACAAATGATTATATAGTCTAGGTACAAATGATTGACATGTAATATAATATGAACTAAATGAACTAGCGTGACTAATAAAAATAACAAGATACAAATGATTATATAGTCTAGGTACAAATGATTGACATGTAATATAATATGAACTAAATGAACTAGCGTGACTAATAAAAATAACAAGATACAAATGATTATATAGTCTAGGTACAAATGATTGACATGTAATATAATATGAACTAAATGAACTAGCGTGACTAATAAAAATAACAAGATACAAATGATTATATAGTCTAGGTACAAATGATTGACATGTAATATAATATGAACTAAATGAACTAGCGTGACTAATAAAAATAACAAGATACAAATGATTATATAGTCTAGGTACAAATGATTGACATGTAATATAATATGAACTAAATGAACTAGCGTGACTAATAAAAATAACAAGATACAAATGATTATATAGTCTAGGTACAAATGATTGACATGTAATATAATATGAACTAAATGAACTAGCGTGACTAATAAAAATAACAAGATACAAATGATTATATAGTCTAGGTACAAATGATTGACATGTAATATAATATGAACTAAATGAACTAGCGTGACTAATAAAAATAACAAGATACAAATGATTATATAGTCTAGGTACAAATGATTGACATGTAATATAATATGAACTAAATGAACTAGCGTGACTAATAAAAATAACAAGATACAAATGATTATATAGTCTAGGTACAAATGATTGACATGTAATATAATATGAACTAAATGAACTAGCGTGACTAATAAAAATAACAAGATACAAATGATTATATAGTCTAGGTACAAATGATTGACATGTAATATAATATGAACTAAATGAACTAGCGTGACTAATAAAAATAACAAGATACAAATGATTATATAGTCTAGGTACAAATGATTGACATGTAATATAATATGAACTAAATGAACTAGCGTGACTAATAAAAATAACAAGATACAAATGATTATATAGTCTAGGTACAAATGATTGACATGTAATATAATATGAACTAAATGAACTAGCGTGACTAATAAAAATAACAAGATACAAATGATTATATAGTCTAGGTACAAATGATTGACATGTAATATAATATGAACTAAATGAACTAGCGTGACTAATAAAAATAACAAGATACAAATGATTATATAGTCTAGGTACAAATGATTGACATGTAATATAATATGAACTAAATGAACTAGCGTGACTAATAAAAATAACAAGATACAAATGATTATATAGTCTAGGTACAAATGATTGACATGTAATATAATATGAACTAAATGAACTAGCGTGACTAATAAAAATAACAAGATACAAATGATTATATAGTCTAGGTACAAATGATTGACATGTAATATAATATGAACTAAATGAACTAGCGTGACTAATAAAAATAACAAGATACAAATGATTATATAGTCTAGGTACAAATGATTGACATGTAATATAATATGAACTAAATGAACTAGCGTGACTAATAAAAATAACAAGATACAAATGATTATATAGTCTAGGTACAAATGATTGACATGTAATATAATATGAACTAAATGAACTAGCGTGACTAATAAAAATAACAAGATACAAATGATTATATAGTCTAGGTACAAATGATTGACATGTAATATAATATGAACTAAATGAACTAGCGTGACTAATAAAAATAACAAGATACAAATGATTATATAGTCTAGGTACAAATGATTGACATGTAATATAATATGAACTAAATGAACTAGCGTGACTAATAAAAATAACAAGATACAAATGATTATATAGTCTAGGTACAAATGATTGACATGTAATATAATATGAACTAAATGAACTAGCGTGACTAATAAAAATAACAAGATACAAATGATTATATAGTCTAGGTACAAATGATTGACATGTAATATAATATGAACTAAATGAACTAGCGTGACTAATAAAAATAACAAGATACAAATGATTATATAGTCTAGGTACAAATGATTGACATGTAATATAATATGAACTAAATGAACTAGCGTGACTAATAAAAATAACAAGATACAAATGATTATATAGTCTAGGTACAAATGATTGACATGTAATATAATATGAACTAAATGAACTAGCGTGACTAATAAAAATAACAAGATACAAATGATTATATAGTCTAGGTACAAATGATTGACATGTAATATAATATGAACTAAATGAACTAGCGTGACTAATAAAAATAACAAGATACAAATGATTATATAGTCTAGGTACAAATGATTGACATGTAATATAATATGAACTAAATGAACTAGCGTGACTAATAAAAATAACAAGATACAAATGATTATATAGTCTAGGTACAAATGATTGACATGTAATATAATATGAACTAAATGAACTAGCGTGACTAATAAAAATAACAAGATACAAATGATTATATAGTCTAGGTACAAATGATTGACATGTAATATAATATGAACTAAATGAACTAGCGTGACTAATAAAAATAACAAGATACAAATGATTATATAGTCTAGGTACAAATGATTGACATGTAATATAATATGAACTAAATGAACTAGCGTGACTAATAAAAATAACAAGATACAAATGATTATATAGTCTAGGTACAAATGATTGACATGTAATATAATATGAACTAAATGAACTAGCGTGACTAATAAAAATAACAAGATACAAATGATTATATAGTCTAGGTACAAATGATTGACATGTAATATAATATGAACTAAATGAACTAGCGTGACTAATAAAAATAACAAGATACAAATGATTATATAGTCTAGGTACAAATGATTGACATGTAATATAATATGAACTAAATGAACTAGCGTGACTAATAAAAATAACAAGATACAAATGATTATATAGTCTAGGTACAAATGATTGACATGTAATATAATATGAACTAAATGAACTAGCGTGACTAATAAAAATAACAAGATACAAATGATTATATAGTCTAGGTACAAATGATTGACATGTAATATAATATGAACTAAATGAACTAGCGTGACTAATAAAAATAACAAGATACAAATGATTATATAGTCTAGGTACAAATGATTGACATGTAATATAATATGAACTAAATGAACTAGCGTGACTAATAAAAATAACAAGATACAAATGATTATATAGTCTAGGTACAAATGATTGACATGTAATATAATATGAACTAAATGAACTAGCGTGACTAATAAAAATAACAAGATACAAATGATTATATAGTCTAGGTACAAATGATTGACATGTAATATAATATGAACTAAATGAACTAGCGTGACTAATAAAAATAACAAGATACAAATGATTATATAGTCTAGGTACAAATGATTGACATGTAATATAATATGAACTAAATGAACTAGCGTGACTAATAAAAATAACAAGATACAAATGATTATATAGTCTAGGTACAAATGATTGACATGTAATATAATATGGTTGGTATGATTCAACAAGAATGTTCATTGCCTCAATCACTAACTTATCCTGATGTAGAATCAATTCTTTCAAATGATGGCTTCTCTATACTGCATTACAGTATACTAGACAACAGTTTGGCCCTCTGGGTTTTAGCAAAAGACACAATGGTGCTCAAAGAAACAGACAAGAATCAGTTTGATACTGCCATGGAAACATTGCWTGAAGAAGAGGAAAGCACAGATGAAAACTCCATGGATAATTTCTTTGCTGATACTGTAAGAAGAGCATATGAAATGATGAAAATGGAAGATAGCTCAGCTTGTGAAAACAGATCTCTTGATGATTGTGTTAGAATAAAAGATCACACCTGTGACATAAGTTCAATGCAGTCACRTGGTGAWRGTACAAGTGAAGAGAGCCTCACTCAACAATCAAACCYGCTGGAAATGCTGTACAATTGTTTAGTGGCTCCTGTCCTATCAGACGTACGACACAATGAGATTGTCATAGTGCCTGATGGACCAATRTATAAAGTACCGTTWGCTGCCCTCAGGGATCCCAATACAGGACTGTATTTGTGTGACAAGAAACACATTCRTCTTGCGCCATCACTAGCAGTATTGAAGGCTCTTAATGAATGTCCAGCAGATCATCACAGCCAAAAAGGAGCTTTAATTGTAGGAGATCCCASTGTTGGAGAAGTTATGYTCAGAGGCAAGAAAAAAACATTTGCACGTTTATCTTCAGCAAATYGGGAAGTCAGCATTATTTCTSGTATGCTCAGACAAAGGGCACTGACTGGTGAACAAGCTACCAAAAATGCTGTGTTGGAGAAATTGAAAGAKGGATYAGCGCTCATTCACATTGCTGCGCATGGGAGCTCTGACAATGGTGAAATAGCCTTAGCACCAAATGTTTCTCCAGAAAGACAAGGAATACCAGAAGAGMATGACTACCTGTTGACAATAAAAGAAGTCCAAGAAATTGGCATCAAAGCTCAACTTGTTGTGCTAAGTTGTTGCAACAGCGGTTGTGGAAAGATCAGAGCTGAAGGCATGGTKGGATTAAGCCGTGCTTTTCTTGTGGCMGGAGCTCGTGCTGTTGTGGCATCATTATGGGCCATTGATGACATAGTAACTTTAACCTTCATGTTAAGTTTTTACCGTTACATGACTCGAGGTGAAAGAGCCAGCATGASCCTACATAAAGCTATGCATGAAATAAAAAAAGAATACAGGGATCCCAAGTACTGGGCCCCATTCTTCCTAATTGGTGATGAYRTCAWCCTCCCAGAAGCATTGTATGAATAACATATTATTGTACTCGTTGCAATGTTATACCCAGAGTCTACASTTCTCTTGACCAGGTTATGATCACTAAWAATTCATAAGGTAAACAAAGGYAAATCATTGCTGTGRYCTCATCTTTRTATGAGCAAGAGATTTGTCCTGATTTGCATACGACTTTAACTTCGATTTTCTCTTACAAATGATATTTTATCCTGAAGGTTTTAGGCAAAATATGCTTTAGCTTGTGTTGGAATTTGATAAGCAATATGCGATATTCACTTCTGACCTTTGTCAGGGTTGCTGCTTACAGTATTAAACTATACTGTCTTCAAAAACTCATACATGATATGAGTTTTATTAGGCCAATAGAATCAGCCTATTTGGTCGCATGCATGGACCTTTATATCTGATAAAACACTCCTTATTAGTATTCTTTAAGAATACTAATTAAGGGTGACCTTTATCAGATAATAAAGGTCCATTATCCTTCTAGCAAAGGTCTCAGGTTTGAAACTGATCATTGACCAATGCAGGATGTCAACCGATTTCAGTAAACAGCCAGCAGCAGTTCTATTTTACTTTATGCATATTCAATGTGGGATGAAAATAGTGCTTTAATGTACAGTGATTCGCGCATGATCAGCTTGACCCATTTATCTCAAAATTTGTTTTATGGCAATTTCTCCAAGAATTTTAACAGATTTGAGTTTCAAACTAGTTTTGGAGTTTTTGAAGCCGTTTAAAACTCTCTCTCGTGTTTTAAACTATACATAAAGGTCTCCTGCTCATATTTTAATATGACTTATCAAATTCATTAATAATGCATTAGGTAAACAAAATGGAAAATCACTGCCATGACCAATTTGTCCTGTTTTTACATGACTTTAACTTTCTCTTTAAAATAATACTTCATCTTGAGGTTTTTAGCAAAATATCTAGTATCATGACAAACCATTGGGAATCTAAGGAATCACAAAGATGCCAAAAAACAATGTAAATTTTACTGTTAAGCTTGGCTGTTTTATTMTAACTAAAGTGTATCTCTAAATTAATTTACAATACTCATTACATTGAGTATAAATAATCATTTAAATATTAATTATAGTTATCCCTAAATGTAGCTCTGTCAATGAAGTGTTTATAACACCACACTATCCTASACATAAATATCAAATCAAGTCTTTTACAATGAGTTTACAGTGTTAATACTGAGACATCACAGGTTTCTATACACAAACGTATGCAGATATGAAGAGCTGCAGAAAAGTGGAGTCCTGATAAAAAAACCTTTTTGTCTTTAGCAGGACAGGGGTTGACTTAGATTAAGTATAAGTTGTGAAATACAATTGTCAGAGTAAAAAGCAAAAAAGTATTTAGGATTAGGCTGCTAATAATTGGGGTCACATGACCAACTACTTATGAATTATAAATAGCTCAGAAATAATCCTAATATGGCTAATGCAATCAGCCCCCTTCCTCTCCTCCCTACCWAACAAAAATGTTCCAATCCTAACTCCAGGAATGACAAAAATTGAATAAATGARCAACAAGGATATGAATTCAGCTTTTCTTAAAAATACTGCCTTAAMGTTGTTAGGCTTTCATCCAAATATGAAATCTTAAAAAAGTTAATTTCATCACTATTATTCACTCCTTCTGTTTGGCACAGACAGTTGCATGGTGTGATATGCTGCTCTCTTTCATCACTAAACTAGTGTCAAGGGACTAAATAGTGAGTTTCTTGATATCTTTTAGACTGTGTTAGCCTCAATTGTGTGYAGAATATGCAGAAATTTGGTTAAAACTCATGAGATTTCACACTATTTTCATTGTCTTCTGTGCTATTGTTTTCTGTCTTCTCTTGCATTTGCAAAAGCTCTCTGAATAAAAGAATATATAACATGGTTTTGAGGCTATTGCAGTGTAAAAGAGATCAATAGAGGTATTTATTGGATTTATCACTTTGTAAGGAATATTGTTGGCTATTATCAAAATGCACTTCAATGACATTATATTCTGCCTTTCTTTGCGTCACTAATTACACCCCAAAGATCAAATATGAAATCATCTGGAAACTGAAAATCAGCATATTCCTCATCCAAAGTAATGGCAAAATCACTCGGGTTTTCTTTGTTTTTACTCAAAGTTACCAAATTTGCAGCTGAAAAAAAAAAAACAGAGAGAAGTGTTTGTCACTATGAAGAACACAAATTATATCCAAAAATTTAATATAGATTTAATATAGCTGATGTGCATGTAAGAATACCTAATTCTTCATCTCTGATTCCCAAAAAGCTTTCCAACAGATCATCAACCTTCTTCATTGCAACTTGTTCCCATGCAGTGTCCTGTAAATAAAAATAAATTTAAATTCACTGGTTGATTCTCAGATTMATGACAACTCCTCTGTTATGGTCCAGGTGGGCTTTTTCATGAAATTTCAATTACATTGTCAGTGATAAATTCTTAACTGTTTCTAATGGAGAAGGCCGTCTTTCGAATGACGTCCATATGTGGTTTGCATGCACACGGCACTGATATACACATAGAAGGGTCTCATGGCCCTATTATTAGTATGCAAAAAAGGCTTTTTTTAAGGACATGCTTAAAAGATTAGAATCAGCTGCTATATGCATTGCCTAGTAGTTCCTAAACCTAACCAATAAGCCATGAGATCAATTTGCTGAGTGAACCTCAGAACTTTGTGGTAGTTATGCAAGGCATTCATGAATTAACCTTGAACCTTCTATAGGGACATGAGAACCTTCTATATGTACATCAGAGCTACATGTATGTATATGGATATCCATATGTGGAAGTTGTATGACAAACTTGTTTCTTGACTGATATCAATATATCACATCTAATGATTTAAGAAATATAAAACGACGCACGTCTCTGTCCTCTGATATAAACACGGTGGGAGTTCGAAAAACATGAGAGAAGCAAGTTTAGGAACACGAGCGTAGCGAGTGTTTCTCTTGCTTCTCGAGTGTTTTTCAGAGGACATAGACACAGCGGCTGTTTTATATTTGTTTTACAAAATTTTTCGAGCAGAAAGAACATTTTGCCGGTAAGCTGTGTCTCTGTCCTCTGATATAAACATGGTCGTCAGCCAATCAGAGCGCGCATAATATATCAAAAATTTTATAAACCAACATAAACATTACTCAATTTGAAGGTCTCATTGGAAAGTAGCATATTTCTGTGCCCTAGATCAGTTATACTGTGAGTATCTTACCACAATATTTTCAACTACAGGGGGTCCTTTGGCTTTCAGTCGTAAAGTCGCTTTGCCAGACCCAACTGCTTTCTCTGTTTTTTCATCTCCCCCTCCTGCTGGYGTTGGTGCTTGAGCCCCCCTGGTTGACGTCCTTGGACCAATACCCTCTACAAATTAAATACAATACACTGTTACATAAATTCTTTAGCAAAGGCTTATTGTAATTGCAAAAAAGCATACTTCAAAAGTTTTTTTTATCCAGGATTTGTGAATTTTTGCATACCATTACAGAAATATTGGAAATTACCCAATAATGTCTGTTAATGGCTGGACAAGAATAGACAACTTTTTGATATTTTGGTTCAATGACTATGTACAAAAGAACGCATATGAAGCTCCGGGAAAACAATGGATAATCTTAATTTATTCTTCTATTTTCCCAGAGCCTCACTTGTCTGCAATTCTTTTATGCATAGCTACTGAACCAAAATATGTAATTGTTAGACTTTTACACAGCAAAACAAAACTGAGTTTCACGACAAAGGGATGTTTTCTTTTCCCACTCTTTAGGAGATATTTTCACCCTCGGCAAACCATTTTGACTAATGAGCATTTTTCAACATTTCCTTATAATATCTTACCAAAAGATCGCATTGGTTCCACTAAACGAAAACTGATCTTTCCTTGCACATCCACCTCCCGCAACATGCGAGCAACATCAAAATGTCGCTTTCCAACAACTGATACATTATTAATTGTCTCAACATGATCACCGACACAGATTTGTGGTTCTTTGTCAGCTATACTGCCTTCTTTTATGCGTTTAATGAATGCACATCCTGAACCATTGTCGGTAATTGTCAAACCAAGTGATGGTTGATCTTTAAGGACTTCTACAGTCTTTATTTGTCCTTTTACATGTGCAAATATAAAGTCATCCAAACCAATTTGACCACCAAGAAGCCGATCCATGTCAACTCGATAGGTGTTCAATGTGCAAAATAAGATCTGAAAGATAAATTTGATTTCATTTGAATTACATTTGCATTTCTCCCTCATAGGCCTAGTGGGTAAAACACTGCATAAAACATCTCCCTCATAGACCTAGTGGCTAAAACACTGCATAAAACATCTCCACCCAATTCAAACCAACAGAAGTAAGTTTCATTGTTTGTTGAATTACCACTTTGGATTTGCAAAGGCTGATTTACTCTATATGCAACTGTTTGTTAAACTCAAAAGAACTTCAAGTCGTGCAGTATAAATGCCTCTACAACATGCCTATGACTGACATAACACATAACTCTCAACTTGGTTTTGAGCCAGGGATCAAATTCTGACAGATGGTCGTAGGAAAATGAGTAGACCCAGTATTTTCTCCAGTCAAATGGTAAACTATTCGTTATAGCATATGCTAATCATAAATGACAGTTGTGCATTGTGAACAACACAGCCCAGAATCTGTATTGAATTTGAATTGGATGATAACAAACATGGTGACAGGTCAGCYAATGAGGTCTTTGAAATACTACTTACTATACGTATGCATACAACGTTTAAAAATAAGCATGTTCAGCTTTATATATCATTCTTTATTGTTATGATAAAATAATAAATTATAAACTCTGAAAGGATAAAAATTGATAAGAAATATGATATACTCGCATCTGACCTTATGGGCTCTAAAACTGCTCACTTGMRGCTCGCAGTTTTATATCGATGCCCATAGGTTTCCTGCTGATATTTTATACATTATGTAATAATCAAAATGCAAATTACTTAGTTTATTTTTCAAAAGAGCATCTGGTTTAAAATAGAATATTGCAATGTAAATTTACTTTCAGCGATAAATAATAAAGCAAATGGTAAAAAAATTGCAWTATATGCATGAACTGAAAATGTTTTGAAGTCTGTCATTTTATATTATTTAAATTTAAAGCAGTCTTAATTTTCACAAAAAAATCATGAATAGATGACATTCAAGATGAGAAACACTTTGAATTTACCACTTGCTGTTTTAATTTAATTCCTCTGTTTGGCGGGTTAACATTCGCTGAAAAATGGATAATTCACCAGCCTGGAAAATCATCCTCAGTTATCCTGCTCAATGATGAGATGTCTGTTTCAAACTCTCATTTTAGTTTTTACAAATGATGACAAATAATTGCACCCAAAAATAGCCATCCTGGAATTAAGTTTCCATATGTTTGGTATTTTGTTAGATTAAATGTACAGTCCATTATGAACAATGAAGTTTGATTCATGCATCTAAAGGAAGTTTTTTTTAAAACAATTTTTATCAAAATGTATAAACCTCAAKAGCATGGAGTGGAAAAATCCTCTGCTCGCAGTGTTCCCTGATGCCTGTGTTATCTAACAGAAACCATGTGTAATTTTCATAAAATAAATATCTCAACCACAAGGTGGTTTTGACTCTGTCAGTCATAACTCCAAACCTAACTGTATTTCTTATGAATGTCTTCCTGAAGAATTGAATAAATGTGGACTTTTCATATTGAAATTTAGAATTTTGACTGRCAAGAGGCAAAGACATCACATGGTGCTAGAGGATGCAACAAGGAGTCACTGCAATAGTAAATGTTGCAGTAAAACATAATTTAAGCGACTTTATATTTCTAGATTACATAGCTAGCTTTAGGGCCCTTTAGACTAAATTTACATTTCAATCATTACTGTATTTTTATAATTATTAAAATCATTTTTGATAAAGGAAAATGTTATTAATTTATGACTTTCTTGTACTCAGCTTTTAGACACTTTAAGTTAGGACGAGCAATTTTCAAAACTGTATTTTAGTTCGAGTTAAATTGTAACATATTAATATAATGCAACATAGCCTACCAATACCAATAAGTACTGCATGTCCAAATAAGTACAAAATAAATATAATAGCAGTGATGTACAAATACTATACAGTATATTAACGAACTAGTAGCTTCCCGAGACGCACAAAAACAGACAAAAGCATGGCTGATGAGTCATATTTTGTTTAAGTCACAAAAAATTAGAAGAATTCGTTTTCACAAGTAAAATCTAAAAGCTTACACAGTTTAAAGTATTTCTATCGGATGTGGTGCCGTTTCCGATTCGAGCTGAACAAATAAACTCTATCGACGCGTAATTTTTTTTCTACAAGCATCGTAACGTGTAGTTTATTAGTTAGTTTGATATATGAAAGTTTATAATTTTGGCATGCACATATTAGTTCCTGAATGATAACAACATTAAAAATTTTGGGACGGAACTGAAATGGCGGTGAACTATTCTTAACACTGAGACAAAACAAAACCCTGAYTTCGTCTTAACAAAAGACACCAAACATAAATTACTAAACAGAGAATATACAAACGATCTAAGACATTAGTTATTCGTTAATCACCCAAAACTGTTCTGGTCGAGTTTGATAACTTATAGTCAATCTGTTGTTTTTGTTACAAAACACGTACGTTACCGGCTACCATATAAATATTGGACATAAAACTTACCTCTTCGTCTTTGATATGAAAGGCTGCTGCAATCTTTTCGTAGAGCTGTTTTACATTAGTAAAACCTTCAACCTTTGCTGTAGCGCTACCATGAGCAAGTTGACAATAAAATACAAATCGCGGTGGTGCTGSCGGTGGTGCGCTGGGATCGGGAGGAGGAATCGAACTYGGCTTAGGAGGAGCACCACGATGTCTTCTCATTTTCTCTCTCGAARCGGGACTTGGTACAGCGTTAGCTCTGTCATCAGGAATGTTATTTCTAGCAGAGTTTTGAGCTGTTTCATGGGATGTAGTTTTCGGGGAAGCTGCTTTCTCGTTGAGTGAGTTTTCTGGAGTCGCGTTCTTGGCTCGATTCTTGCGATCCTCACGCCGTTGATCCTTCGGCGAACTCTCATTCGTTAAGTTCGCACTTTTATTCTTGAAAAATGGCATTGTTTGAAGGAGGTACACTTGATATCATAAACAACAAAAAGTTGTCTAAGTTTTCCTTCACTTCCAAAGTTGTGATCAAATATTCTAGAATGACTTGCACGTCATCGCTTGTGAACCATAACAGCTTCGTTACCAGGGCTCCTCAGCAACGCCGCGCAAGCGATTTGAAGAACGCTTGAACAACTTCAAAAAAATGAAAATATCATGCCGTTTAACTAATTAATAGTTTTTATCAAGTTTTAAATGAATTCCACAATGTTTCTGATATTTGAAACTATAGACGATCCATTATGTTTTCTATAATTTTATTAGCAATGAACCAAAATTTTAATTCAATTAATCAATGGTTTTTGATATAACCAATAATTCAAACTGTCAAGTCTCAGTAAACATACGTATTCTTGCATTTCTTCTCGCTGTCATTTTTACATTATCATATAAATATAYGTCATGCAAAATTCCTCTAATAATGACTAATAATTATAACTTTTGTGCATAAAAGAATGCAATAAAAGATGACAATGGTTTACTTAGAAAGGTAAAATCTATGATTTATAGGAAGACAGACCGTGTGAGATTTCTCAGGAAATATTTTAAGTTTGTTGGTGACCAGGAAAAAGAATACCTTATTTATAGTAATTTCCTGTGCATTTCCCAAAATATTTCACAGGCATGCAATTCATTAGTCTCCTCGCAGCCGTTCTTAGTGGCGGGCTCCCTGTCCCCCGCCTGCCACTAAGAACGGCTGCGAGGAGACTAGCAATTCATTTCATGTTTTTACCAAATAATCATTCTAAATATAAGGGCATTTTTGCATAAGCTTTTTGTTTTGCTTGTCTTTAATTTTGCAATTTTTTACAATATAAAGGTATCACAAAAACCTTGAAACAAYCTCAAATTAGAATATTCTACAATATCATCARATAAGCAATAGCAAAATTTTCTTAGAGTCCAACAAATTTGTGGTTCTTTCCTRTTAGYACTTCACCAGAAACCTATAAGGAAACCTATACAGCTGTGCCAACCGCTGGAATATTCATATATAATTTGCATCTCAYTTCCTTATTTGGAACAATTAAATTTACCCTATAGCCAACCAGAACGGGCCTTAAATCTCTTATCCAATGGCCAAATTTTCCAAATATGGTCATAGCGTTCGTTTTTTAATTTTTAATGAGCTTCGAATATTCCATCGAGTGGCACTAAAGAAATGTACAGGTGTTACACGTTTCAAGTCCCTTGTAGGTTTCTGACTTCACCTAATAGGTATAAAATTGGCATATCTGATATAATCAATYTATTCTAGAGCCATCAAAAAAAATACCTCTCAATATTCAAAGTGATTAACCGCTGTTATATTTCACAGCAGATTCCCTTACACAAAAAACATACTGAAGACAAAAGAAATTTTGTTAGTACAATAGCGCTAACAATGTACATTTTCCCCAAGTTGAGGCTAACCCTGTATTCCCAGAAGGCTCATCATACCTTAGGTCTTATGGGAATACAGGGTATAAGTCTCAACTCGGGGAAAATGCAAATTTCAAGGCTATTGTAATAACATTTTCTTGTGCTCTCTTTTGTGTTTGGTCAGATCTTTGTGCAAGAGAATATATTGTCATATAAAGCAGCAGTTTTTTCACTATGAATTCAAAACTGGAGTATTAAGGATTTTCATCGTATGCAGGCAAGGCCTTAGAAAAGGTTACAAACTTTGACATAAGCAAAATAAGCAGATAATTATTGTGCTCACATGTCAATTGTGAACCAGCWCCCTATTYATGTCACAATGCGAACCTGCTCTTAATTATGCTAGCAAAATTTGTTTTCTCACTCTTTCAAAAAAGTTAAACACACTGCTTGAACAGAAAGTAATGAACAGTGTTCAATACCCTCTGCTCACCAGAGATCATGATAAACATGATATTACACATCCACAATAATTATTTGATAGCCATTAATTCAAGAGAAGTCAAAGTCATCCCTAAGGTCATTATAAGCCATGACATGTTTCCTTATCTTAGAAGTGTCTGTCCAAGTGACAAAATCCTCCATATTCCTGGACACTAAGAATGCTGGATCCATGATTACTTCTGTACCAACACGAATATGTCCCTGTTCAACATACTTGACAGCGTCCTTTATTGCTTGTGCCATTTTTAGTCTAACCATAACCACAGGGAGACGACGACGACAGAATGCAGATGGATTGACCTTTTCGCATTGCGCTAGTCCTTTGATGGATGTGATGAAACCCATGTTGTACAATTTTGTAAGGAGTTGGTCTGTAGCTTCAACGCGAAAAGGATCCTTTGTATCAAGATCTTTGATCTTATTGGCCAGCGATTTGATAATACCACTTATTTTGTTGTATTTTGTGTARTCCTCTCGTCTCTGGATGTGATATTTACGAAGAATTTTCACTTCGCGTATGTTGTCATCAGTCTTCCATGAGATAAAATCGACCTTCTTCAATAGCTTCTGCTCGTGGTATTTTAGCTTTCTGACCATAATAAAATACTCTAGGGGAAACAATAATACTGCCTTTAACCAAAGTGACAATATTTAACAGATATTGCGAAGGAATGATAACTTTTTTTCCGATCCTTTTTACAAAAATCCAGCAATAAAACCTCACACGTGTTTTTATCACCAGTACAGACTGGGACAGACTGGGTACTAATGAGGTAAGCCGCTGGGCGATGATATCGCTGACTCGGAAGTTCATATTAGAACCAAGAATTTACGTCTAGAAGCAAAACAATGCTTTATTTGATTGGTTTAGGTTTGGGGGATGCCAAAGATATTAGTGTAAGAGGACTAGAGGTTGTTAAAAGTGCCAAGAAAGTGTTTTTAGAGGCTTACACGTCAATCCTGTCAGTTGACAAGGAATCCCTCGTGAGTATTTTGGTCACATGGTTTTAAGTTATATAAGCTTAAGGTTAATTTCAAGCTCTAGACATCTCGAGAAGCAGATGTTTATGTTTGTCTTTGTGTTATAGGAGGAWTTATACGGACGTGAAGTTATCCTGGCTGATAGAGATTTAGTAGAGCAGCAATCAGGTTGGTTGACGATGATTAGATGGTAACACAGGGWTCCCAATAGTGTAACAGCTTCGCGAGATTTTCATGATGGATGATATTAAATGGAAAATTAGTAATTGGGATAATTTACTGCGAGAAATTAATTAGAAAAAAAGTGGGAAARATGTGTATTGTTGTAATCTTTGGCCATGTTTACAAAGAGCCATTCCCAGTTCAAGTTGTTCACTTTTGAGGTCTTAAAGCGCCACAATTTTGGAGTGTAAACTACTGTAGGCTTTATAAAATATGATTTCCCTTCTCCACAGATACCATTCTGTCAGATGCAAAAGATRATGACGTAGCATTCCTTGTAGTGGGCGACCCATTTGGGTAAGCAACAACTGTYRCCAAAAGTGGGCTTGMAAAGATTSKYTTYGCCAAATTTTTYGTAACTGTTTAATGGTMTAACTTCTTTGCAGCATGGTTTGTTGTCTTTAATATCTAATTATTAGTCAGTTATATATTTATTGCTTTAAATTTTCAGGGCCACTACTCATACAGACCTTGTTATAAGAGCTCGTCAGTTAAACATCCCTTACAAAACTCTACATAACGCTTCTATATTAAATGCTATAGGATGCTGTGGTTTACAGGTAAGACCTTAAAAAAACAGAAAATAATCTATCAATTATTATTGTCTCCCTCAGCAACTGATCAGCTTAGTTAGTAAAGCACTGGAGTGGKTTGTTCAAAGCCTGATTTATTGTGTTAATCCGGGGTTAGCTTCATAGGTTTTTTAAGACTTAAACCAGGATTACTGCTAATTGAGCTATAAAAAGCCCTGCCCTGGACTTTTTTATGCTAGGTCAGGATTCAAATGCTGTCCAGACAACTAGCTGGTATCTTAATAAAATAATTTCAAACRAAGGTCTATCACCGCTGTGGTCCTGRTTCGATTCCCGGTCCGGGGCTATACGTGATTTGAGTTTGTAGGCTGGTTCTCTTCCTTGCTTCGAGGGTTTTTCTCCAGGTCCGCTGGTTTTCCTCCCTCAGTCAAAAACTAGMTGTGAGGAGTGTCGTGTAGTAAAATAATGAATATTGAGGTAGTGAGTATGAGTGAATATATAGAGGGCCACAAGTTTATTAGTCTAGAGACTATTACATGCTACCCTCTCAAAATAAAAGAGTTATTTATTTATTATTTATTTATTGTTATTTGTAGTTGTACAGTTATGGAGAGACAGTATCCATAGTATTTTGGACAGACGACTGGAAGCCTGATAGTTTTTACGATAAAATTGCATTAAATAGGAAAAGAGGTTTACATACTCTTTGTTTACTTGGTGAGTATCTGCACTGGAAACATTTCCTTATGAAGATCAAAATAGAAAGCMAGGAGTGCTAATGGGCTAGAGCAAGGAGAATACACCTTTCTACTGTCCCCAGACATCTCGAATCATTGCAGCCCTGCCTTTACTTAAGGCTGATTTACACGGCATGATTGTCTCGTGCGACTTGTAGTATACGACTTGTATCGCACAGTGTAAATGCCCCTACGACTTGTCTACAACAGTCGTACGCAACCTACGACTTGTAGTAGGGTTTTGAACCACTGCTTAAAATCCTACGACTTGTAGTAGGAAAATCGTATGCTACAAGTCGCGCGCGACAGATCGTACCGTGTAAATCAGCCTTTATAACTCAATAACCATCCAAGAGATATTCTGCAAATGATTTTCAGATATCTGAAAAAGACGGAATAGGCTGCATACATCCGGTTTATTCGGATGTACGAGTAAACCCTGGTTAAAAGTCCGGGACTATATTATGACTAGCGAACCTGAAATTTGTCAAAGTGTTACAACTAAACTGTCATGCATGTTTTAAATAGACAATCAAGTGTTTTTGATTTAACTATACTAATGTTCACATTATAAACGTATAATATCTTTTTGCAGATATCAAAGTTAAAGAACAAACTATAGAAAATATGATGAGGTATTGGTTTACTCATTCTATGTGATAATTGCTGTGATAGTYTTAGTCTTGTATTGGTCCTGTATTTCACGATCTGCCCAGTCTACGGTATCCTGCAGCTAGGCTGCGAGCAAAGTTGCAGAAAATACAATTAAAATAAGAATAAAATTATTATTTTCTGGCTTTGGGTCGGTTTGTATAGGAATACACTGCCCTCTGTCTTTTATGTGCGGACGGAGGGCAGCCTCGTGCAGTGTTTTCCTATACGGACCTCCCAGCCGTTAAATAACATATATATATTACCTGCACTCAGACGTTTGAGTGTAGTGTAGACAAAGGTATTTTCTTCTTTTTTCCCATGTTGCACAGGAAGACGCACAAGTCCATGGAAAGTTCATGTATGTCCATCTCCACTCAGGTTTTGTTTGATTTGTTGTAGAGGTCGCAAAATCTACGAACCGCCAAGATACATGAGTGTTAGCGATGCAGTTAAACAACTGTTAGAAATACCAAAACTACGTAACTTAACATCTGAAGAATCAGGTCMGTGAATGAATGGTTAGCCTGCGTGCAACCAAACCAAAACTGTTGTTTTTGTTCGTTTGCGAATCAGCGACGAATATCGTGTGGGATATATGTACAGTTGTGTAAAAAGATAAATTTAACACCGTAAAAAAATAAGTGAAACAACTTACTGAAGTCAAAGAGTCTTTCATCCGACGGAGGATTAACGTCCAAAACGTCAGTAAGTTATTTCACCTATTTGTTCACGGTGTTAAATTTATCTTTTTACACAACTGTTTCAGCGACGCAGCTCACACTAGTTTACCGTTAGTTGACGGCACACACTTTAGCGTGTACTTCGTGCTACTTATGCACTAGTCTATTGAATCCCCCGCCCCCCGCCCCCCGGGGCTAGCGGGGCACTGAACGGGGACGTGACGCGTTTTTGACGTGCTTTTAACAGCAACATTGCACCGGGGGGTCGGGATTTTGATGAATTGTTTTCGAAGCGGGGCGAAGAGCGGGGATTTTAACGCTCTTTTAAAAATGTATGAGTCTGGAAACTAGACGTCGGCCATCTTGAGAAATACCCTGAAGGCATTGGTATTCATCCCCGCTTTTTTATTTGTTTATTTTTCCTTGCATAAAAAGTTTTTAAAAGAAACTTATTACACATTTTTTTCTCTGTCCAGTAAACCTCATGCAGTACGCAAATGGTACACAGGATTGTGCAAACTTAACCCTGTGTGTCGCATAAAATTTGATTGAAANTCCATGGAAAGTTCATGTATGTCCATCTCCACTCAGGTTTTGTTTGATTTGTTGTAGAGGTCGCAAAATCTACGAACCGCCAAGATACATGAGTGTTAGCGATGCAGTTAAACAACTGTTAGAAATACCAAAACTACGTAACTTAACATCTGAAGAATCAGGTCAGTGAATGAATGGTTAGCCTGCGTGCAACCAAACCAAAACTGTTGTTTTTGTTCGTTTGCGAATCAGCGACGAATATCGTGTGGGATATATGTACAGTTGTGTAAAAAGATAAATTTAACACCGTAAAAAAATAAGTGAAACAACTTACTGAAGTCAAAGAGTCTTTCATCCGACGGAGGATTAACGTCCAAAACGTCAGTAAGTTATTTCACCTATTTGTTCACGGTGTTAAATTTATCTTTTTACACAACTGTTTCAGCGACGCAGCTCACACTAGTTTACCGTTAGTTGACGGCACACACTTTAGCGTGTACTTCGTGCTACTTATGCACTAGTCTATTGAATCCCCCGCCCCCCGCCCCCCGGGGCTAGCGGGGCACTGAACGGGGACGTGACGCGTTTTTGACGTGCTTTTAACAGCAACATTGCACCGGGGGGTCGGGATTTTGATGAATTGTTTTCGAAGCGGGGCGAAGAGCGGGGATTTTAACGCTCTTTTAAAAATGTATGAGTCTGGAAACTAGACGTCGGCCATCTTGAGAAATACCCTGAAGGCATTGGTATTCATCCCCGCTTTTTTATTTGTTTATTTTTCCTTGCATAAAAAGTTTTTAAAAGAAACTTATTACACATTTTTTTCTCTGTCCAGTAAACCTCATGTAGTACGCAAATGGTACACAGGATTGTGCAAACTTAACCCTGTGTGTCACATAAAATTTGGTTGAAAGGTGTTTGTTTTGTTATTTACTAGTAGACCAAAATAGCGAGTCAACAGTAGCTGGGATTTCAACAATGAATGTGTCCCGACTACCGGGGAAAATGTCCTATTTTAACACCACTCAAACGTTAAATTCCCCGGTATTCCAGGTTTCAATTGACTAGTGCATTAACTGCAMTTTGATCTTTTAAAGTCGCTTTCAAAAACCTGGCCTATCACTTCATTCTGATTGGTCACTATAGTAGAGGTTTTTTTTATTATTCTCTTCAGTATTTAGCATTTAGTATAGTAGTATCCACCAAAYTAAGGAGAAATCCAGCATTCTGATTGGCTACTGAACTATGGTATCAGTTCATGGTTGACTATGCTCGTGTTGGATGAATACTGCCTCATGTACTATCAACTCGTAGTCCACTCGACCTCGCGCTATAATTGTTAATTCAATAAAATTTCAAATTGTTTCCATTTCAATTTTGGACATTTTGGTCTAATGCRCTATACTTTAACTACTATTAATGAAGATTAATGAATACTTCTCTAACCACTCCATCATATTTTTTTGTAGYATACGATGAAGACACGTTAGCTGTTGGTCTAGCAAGGATAGGTTCCGACACTCAGCAAATTGTTTTTGGTCCAATGAAAGATTTCGTATCKTACGACTTGGGACCACCACTGCACTCTCTTGTGATTCCTGGAGAAATGCATTTCCTTGAAAAAGAAATGTTAAAAGAATTTGCTATTGAATTAGGCGCTGCAAATCAATAACAGACCTGTACATCGCGTATAGTGCTTCGTTTCAATCCGTATCCCTTTTATCTTTAGTAAGTCTCAGAAGAACAGTGACAGCATACTTAACTTGAACACGGAGTTATATCGACCAGCAATGACCTACATGGTATTGGAAAATTATCAAAGCATTCGCTTAAAGTGCTCATGAGTACCCAAGTCCTGTCGCACAGGAAGCCCGACAAAACATTTCAAGAATCAGAAAATTCCTGTCTGTTAAATCTACGGAAATCCTTGTTCACTCGTTCATATCATCTAAACTTGACAATTGCAACTCTCTACTATATGGCCTCCCTAAATATCTGATTGATCGTCTACAAGCTGTCCAAAATGCCTGTGCTCGTCTTGTCATGCTTTCTAAAAAACATGACCACATTACACCTCTGCTTATCAATCTTCACTGGCTTCCTGTCTCCGCACGTATCAAGTTTAAAATTCTCCTTCTGACTTTTAAAGCTCTTCATGGCCTGGCTCCTATTTATGTTCAAGATATGCTTAAAAACTATCGTCCTTCTCGTTGTCTTCGTTCGTCGTCTCAACTGTTACTGTCTTCCAAGTCTTACAATCTTAAAAGTTATGGTTATCGTTCTTTTAGTGTTGCTGGACCTTTTCTATGGAATTCACNATAGTGCTTCGTTTCAATCCGTATCCCTTTTATCTTTAGTAAGTCTCAGAAGAACAGTGACAGCATACTTAACTTGAACACGGAGTTATATCGACCAGCAATGACCTACATGGTATTGGAAAATTATCAAAGCATTCGCTTAAAGTGCTCATGAGTACCCAAGTCCTGTCGCACAGGAAGCCCGACAAAAGGGTAGGCTACGAAGGAGACTAATTACTCGCGGAATCTGCGCATGACAATCATCTGTTTTGAAGAGCCCATGTTCACTTCGGGCATGCGTAGTGAGGAATTTTGGCGCTTCTCGAAAAGTCCCTATAAACCTCTTCGTGGAAACGTTCTTCATTCGAAAGACTGTACATTTCAATGTTTTCAGCTATAGACTTTTGTTCTCGGAATTTTAAGTATTTGAAATATTGAAAATCTAAATATATTACGTCAACCTATTTCTTTGATGTACAACAAAATACCATTTCGCATTGCATTTTGTCTAGAATCTGCCACTGTCGCGCTAAAGTGGAGCCAAACTCAATTGATAAATACGTCGAGCTCTTAATGTGCTATCAAAATTGGAACTATTTGGTTCGGCGCGGCGCTGGCTCCACGCATGAACCGTGCCTTGGTAACTCGGTAGTTCTGGGAAGTGGCGTTGATTGCGGGGGAGGCTTGTTTTYGAAATTTTTTTGAACTTCGCTTGAAGAAGGGGGGTATAAAAACGAGTATGATATCAGAATGCACTATTTTGTATACAAAACCATATAACCCATTAAATTTCGCCTGCGATGTTATAGAGTCCTATTTTCACGGAAGGTATTTCACGYGCGGATGACTCGGCTATTAGAAATCAAGCRGTTAGTGAAAAACAATCAACACTCCTGAAGAGAATGGGGTAAAATTAAAAATTTTACAAAGTTTTAGAATAATCCATTGWATGRTCGAGAAGATGCGGTACTTCAAAGACTGCAAAATATGAGCTGTAACCACTCAACCTCATCAAACATTTCTTGTAGTATTTGGTGAATTTGAAAGGCTTTATTTTCTCATATTTTCAATGGATTATTCTGAACCTGKTGAATTTATTAATCTAGTAGGCCATTTGTTTCAGTGGTGGTATTGTTCTTGATTTTGCGATGGCTGAGTTCTCCGTGATGGTTTACTGAATCCAGGTATGCATTATTGAATACTCATCAGACAAAATGAAAAACAACAACATCGGTTTCAAGAGAAAAATAATTTGGAGATGAGTATCATAATTATAACCATCCTGGCCAAATTCTATCCAGTCTTGGTAACTTCTTGGAACTTTCAAGCCAATCAAAACAAGCCGAATGTATATCTTAGAAAGTTATGGTCCATTACACTGTACAAAAATATACCCATATTTGGTTATGTAATAATAAAAGAGTGGACAGTTTCTATTTTTAAGGAAACGTATCTGCACATTACGTCTACATTAGTTGTTTTTATTGGTGGRCTACGTGTAAACAACCCATTGATGTAGAAGACATTACAAGAGAAGGACCGAGGTAGACACATAAGTCACTTCACAATATTCTAAGCTTCCTTGAAAGGTAAGTCAATACATAGTAGAGGGCTATGGTCAATAAAAGTTTGTAATATTGTCAAAAGTAAAGCCGGAGCTACACGAGCGATTTTTCGCTTGCGCAGGCGACGCGATTTTCGGGTATAACGATGAAGGCTGAACAACGAATTTGAGCTGTTTTTGTACATATACAGAGAGATTCCAATAAGTATTTGTGATGGTTTTTTATCCATACAGCATTGTCATTCGTGTAGCCAAATTGTGCGCTGGTGATTTTGAGAAAATCGCGTCGCCTGCGCAAGGGAAAAATCGCTCGTGTAGCCGCGGCTTAAATCTGCTATTGCGTATTGGGTGGAGGACTTGGTTCTTGTGTATTGATAATTGTACTGATTGCAAACCGGTTTCCTATTTAGTATGTAGCATACAGATTCTAAGTCGGCAAGAAGCGGGGAAAAGTTTTTACAAATTTCCTTAATTAGTGAATTTATAAGTACCTATTAAATTTCAGATTATTCAATGGAGTATTGGAAGAGGACTTAGCTACATGTAAACCCACTTATCATTTGTGATCAAAAGTGAATCAAGATGGCAACGGGATGGTCCACAGTCAGAAAAGAAAACACCAACTATGCACTATTGTGTATCTTGTTGATCGAAGGAGGAACAAAGGTCCTTAGAAATAGTTTTGATGCCAAACATCCACCTCTCAATCTGAAGAAACATCTATTGGATCATACCAATAAAAAACGCTTGAATAGTTTGAAGAAATCAAAAAAGCTAAGGGTAGATCAGTGGAGTAAGCTATATCCAACTGTAGGGACGGTAACATCTGCAAGTTTTGACATAACTCTTTTAAGTTTGCTGTTGAGAAATATCTGCAACTTACCAACACCTGCCAATGGATGGGACAAGGAGCCTGCAGCAGTAAGTGTAAACCTAGAAGATGACATAGTGAGATTGAGGCTATTTCGTAATCAAGTSAGTCACTTCTCTAATCCAACTGTATCAGATGCTGATTTCGCCAAGTACTGGAAAGATATTGAAACTGTTTTGTTAAGACGTGGTGCAAGCAAGGAAGAAATTGAGAACTTATCAAGACAATCATTCGATCAGGATGATGAAAAATACTAYATTAAATGCTTGGAAGAATGGGCTGACAATGAAGAAAGAATTTTAACGGCAGTAAAGAACACAGAGCAGATATTGCGAGAYAAAACAAATCCAATGCTGGTTAAAATCGTTGAAAATACAGCTCCGTGTCAAGAGAAACCACTTCAAGTTCAAGGTATGATACACTGAAATGAGCATTTGTTACCGGTCTGTACTAATTTCAGCAATTCAGGTTGATATGGTTGATATATGAAACATCAGATAGTGCAACGCAAAACGAAATGAGTGACTCGATTTAATGGATCAAGTCAAGCATGCATAGCAAAACAGGAACTGACCGACGRCGAGGTAAAACAAGCTGCGAGATAAAAAGTCGGTTGTACATGATTGAACATGAAATGGTATTGCTGATTGTTTTTGAGACTAATTGTTTTATCGGTTCGTCGTCTTAGTAACACTGTTGTCTATGCTTGAAAAATATAACGGCGCGTGTCTATGTCCAGTCTGATAGAAACACAGGGGGAGTTGAAAAACRCAAGAGAAGCAAGCTTAGAAACACGAGCGTAGCGCGCGAGTGTTTCTCTTGCTTCTCAGAGGCCAGAGCCACAAGCGGCCGTTTTATATTTCTTTTACAAACTTTTTCTGCATTTTTCGAGCGAAAAACAAATTTTGCCGGTAAGCCGTGTCATTTGATATAAACACGGTCGTCAGCCAATCAGAGCGCGCGTTATATATCAAAAATGTTATAATAATAAAGGTTTTGGAACTCACGTACATGCTCTCTCGTAATGATCCGGGTCATGACGGACAAAATTGAGRAATGCTCGATTCGTTCAAATCTTTGCCGAAAATGTTTTTCTTAAAACACACTAAACGGATACACATTTTGCTTTTCACTACTCTGAGACATTAGTTTCACTTAAAGAATCATAACCACCCGCCGTACCTTGCGAACCGAAGCGCCATTTTAGGTGGACACGAAAATGGCGGATTTGTAGGATTTCTTAAAAAGAGCGCGAATCGTCTTCCGTCCTTTCAGTTTGGACAGAAATACCTTTAACTAAGTACCTCACAGGTACTATCAATCTATAATTTATTGTATGCTTGACGCATTTGAACGTATGTAAACAATAATACGAGCGCGCAAGGTACGACGGGTGGTTATGATTCTTTAAGGAAAATTATTATCAGTTCAATCTAATTTCTCGATTTCGTCTGGTATCATTTATAGGGTAACTCTGACTACCAATTTGATATAGTATGTTTGTCACAAAAAGTATGATGTTGTTGGATGGAGCATGCATCATTTGGATCTATGTATTAGTCTATTTTAAAAGAACCAATCACAACGAGCGCACATATAACACGACACCTGATTGGTCATTGTTGATACTAAACTTCCAAAGAACAAACAAATGTAGCCATGAATGCGAATATGGTGAAGTTTTAATTATACGAGAATTTCATACCTTTTGCGAAAAACCCTTTTTTGAAATTGATGTAAAATATGGTTTGCGATATAAGTATAATTGAATCGACAGTAGTTCAAGAGCAATATGGGCTGAGAAATGTTTTACCGTATTGATGAGGAGAAACTTCTCAGCGGGATAAAAAATACCATTCTCAAGTTTGAATTAATTTTATTCAGATTTACCACTTTCATTTGAACTTTTCTTTTTTTTCTCAGTGAAATGCCTGTTGTGTTAGGCAAAATGAAAACCTGCCATGTCTAGTGCTTATGCTACCTGTGCGGCATCT